ACCTGTAATCCTAGCACTTTGGGAGGCGAGGCAGGCGGATCACTTGAAGCCAGGAATTCAAGACCAACCTGGCCAACATGGTGAAATCCCATCTCTACTAAAAATATAAAATTAGCCGACTGTGGTGGCACATGCCTGTAATCCCAGCTACTCAGGGGGCTGAGGCAGGAGAATCGCTGGAACCTGGGAGGTAGAGGTTGCAATGAGCCGAGATTGTGCCACTGCACTCCAGTCTGAGCAGCAGAGTGGGTGAGACTCTGTCTCAAAAAACAAAACAAAACAAAAAGAATCTAAACCTCTAGGTTCAAAGTAAGACCTCACAATTTCATAATACTTCCTATGTACCAGGAGCTGTGTTCCAAGTACTTCTCATCTATTAACTCATTTAGTCCTCACAATAACCCCATAAAGTATCATCATCTCATTTTTATACGTACAGAAACTCAGGCACAGAGAAGTTAAGCAACTTGCTCAAGGTTTCACAGTCATTAAGTGGCAAAACTGGGAATGGAACCTAGGCATTTTGGCTCGTCTTGCTCCTAACCAACACTATTAGCAAAAATCCTGATCTATGAAAGAAAATAACAACTACTTTACACAGTTTTACGTGGTTTAAATGAAATAAGGTAGGTTCCTTAATCCTTTACTTGGAATTATCTATCAGTTGGAGAATACTATTAATACCTAGTTTATAGGCATTGTGTCTGTCAAATAGGATATCATTTCTGAGAGTGTTCTGTGAACTTAAACTCTTATTATTTAGGTGGAAATGGTCTTGGCCTATCAATCAGTGATAGATTTTTCAAAGAATAACATACCAGCTCCTAAGCCCTCTTTGGTAAGTAACCTTGATTCCTATATGTTGGGTGCAGGATACCTTGATCTGAGAGTGCGGGAAGAATCTAATCCTAAAATTTTTCATGAAGGGTATAGAAGAAATTCCCCTTCTGAAAAAAGAAAAAGAAAAAGAAAAAAAGCTCTGCAAGATTTTCTTTTCTTTTTTGTTTTTGTTTGTTTTTTTCATGAAATATGCTGTGCTTGGAAAGAAATTCTATGGAGAGGGATCATGGGTTATGTTAGTAAAATAAAGACTGGGCCTCTCTCTGCCCTTATTTCAGCTTCTGATGAGAAGCGTTGGTGGGTGAGAGAGAATAGTTCATCCCAGTCCCATATGGTGAGCTAAGGAGCTCTGATTCTACTTTGTATAACATTTCTCGCTTTGAGAAGTTCTCCTGTAAGCGTCAGCTATAGTAACACTTACTGAATCCTTTTTTTTTTTTTTTTTTTTTTTTGAGACGGAGTCTTGCTCTGTAGCCGGACTGGAGTGCAGTGGCCGGATCTCAGCTCACTGCAAGCTCCGCCTCCCGGGTTCGCACCATTCTCCTGCCTCAGCCTCCCGAGTAGCTGGGACTACAGAGGCGCCCGCCACCTCGCCTGGCTAGTTTTTTGTATTTTTAGTAGAGACGAGGTTTCACCGTGTTAGCCAGGATGGTCTCGATCTCTGACTCGTGATCCGCTCGTCTCGGCCTCCCAAAGTGCTGGGATTACAGGCTTGAGCCACAAAGTGCTGGGATTACAGGCTTGAGCCACCGCGCCCGGCCCTGAATCATTTTTAAATTGTTTCTTGTCTTTTCCTACCAGCCTTAGAATTGCTTGTGGAGAGAGAATGTGTTTTATTGTTCTCATAGCCCCAGAACCTAGCACAATTTGGCTGAGGATGGAAGTACATTCAAATTGGTCTTGGGATTTTTTAATGGCGACCTTGAGTATTCAATCCTAATGCGAGATATAAATTGATTTCCCTAAGTAATTTTTGAGTAAAAAAAATCAAGCTGCTAATTTTTATAGCTTCGTAAACTGTAAAGTGCCTTCCTCACTCCTGCCCTCTGTCTATGGGCCCCGCTCCCAAACTTCTTCAGTTTATGTCCAGCAAAATTCTTGTTGCTGTCAAATGAGCCAAGTGAGATGAAAATATGTGGTGTCAGTGGCCCTCTAGGGAATAGAAAGAGTGATAGAGTGCTGTACTAGCTGGAATGCATATAAAAACATTGTTCTCTTCCATAAAATTATTTTCTTTTTACTTCATCTTTCAATTATGGAAGTTATTTAATTATAAAATTGACACACATGGCACTTTTCCTTTTGTGCAAAGTGTGGGTCTTCTTGCTCTCCCATTTCCTCAGCCCACTTACCAAAGGTGAACATTAGAAATGGTTTTGTGTATAATTTTCCAGAAACTTCTGTGCATATGCAAGCATATAAATAAAAGATATAGTATATATTCTTTATCATTGTACTCAAATGAGTTCATTTTATTCATGCTGTTCTGCAACTCCTCTTTTAAAACTAACAATCAATCAAAGAGATATTTACACATCAGCACTTCATTTTTTTAACTGCCATATGAAACTCTTTTGTCTGAGTTTATCATAATGTAACCAGTCTTCTTTTATTGCACATTTAGGTTGCCTGCAAAATGTTGCTATTAAAAAGAGTGCTGAACACAGCATTTGTATGTTTGTAATTTTATCCTGTTAATATTGCCAAATTCCTCTGTCACGTTCCTCACTAGCATACAGTGATGTAGCACCCATTTACAACCTTGCTAATGGTGGGTATTGTCTGATGCTTTAATCTCTCCCAATCTGATAGGTAAAAATGATATCTCGTCATAATGAAAATTTCATTCAATTATGAGCAATATAATCATCCTTTCATGTTTTAAAGGGGTATTCTTTTGCTTTTTCTGTATGAATTGCCTGTTCATATCCTTCCTCATTTTTCTATTAAGTTGTCTTGCAAACATGTAAATTAATATGTTCATATATAAAACTCTAGATATTAAGGAAATTCACCTTTTGCCAGTGATCTGTGTCTTCTGAGTCTATTTGTAGTGGATTCTGCTATATGAAAGTTTAAATTTTGTATTAAGTGAAATTCATAGATTTGGGTTTTCATGTCATACTCAGAATATCACTGCTGCCAGATTATATTTTAAATATTTCATCGTCTCCCCGAGTTACTTCATAGTTTCATTTTCGAAATTTAAATCTTTGACCAATCAGTAATTTATTTTCGGTAAAAGAAATGAGGTAGGAAGAGGAATTCAGCGTTACATTTTCTTTTTTTTCTTTTTTCTTTTTATTATACTTTAAGTTCTAGGGTACACGTGCATAACGTGCAGGTTTGTTACATATGTATACTTGTGCCATGTTGCTGTGCTGCACCCATCAACTCGTCAGCACCCATCAACTCGTCATTTACATCAGGTATAACTCCCAATGCAATCCCTCTCCCCTCCCCCCTCCCCATGATAGGCCCCAGTGTATGATGTTCCCCTTCCCGAGTCCAAGTGATCTCATTGTTCAGTTCCCACCTATGAGTGAGAACATGTGGTGTTTGGTTTTCTGTTCTTGCGATAGTTTGCTGAGAATGATGGTTTCCAGCTGCATCCATGTCCCTACAAAGGACACAAACTCATCCTTTTTTATGGCTGCATAGTATTCCATGGTGTATATGTGCCACATTTTCTTAATCCAGTCTGTCACTGATGGACATTTGGGTTGATTCCAAGTCTTTGCTATAAGGCCATTACATAATGGTAAAGGGATCAATTCAACAGGAAGAGCTAACTATCCTAAATATATATGCACCCAATACAGGAGGACCCAGATTCATAAAGCAAGTCCTTAGAGACTTACAAAGAGACTTAGACTCCCATACAATAATAATGGGAGACTTCAACACCCCACTGTCAACATTAGACAGATCAACGAAACAGAAAGTTAACAAGGATATCCAGGAATTGAACTCATCTCTGCAGCAGTCAGCGTTACATTTTCTACATAGCCGGTCAGTCATCTCAACTCCATTAATGGGCTTCCTTCACAAGTGTGTTTGTGTCTGCTTCTAGACTCTTTATTCCATTCTACTGATCTGCTTATCTACACTTGTGACAGCATCAAATTTTACAAATTACTAGAGACATTTTAGTAATTTAGAACCGTTTCCCCCATTTTTTGTGCTTCTTTTTTTTTAAATAAATTTTCTGGCTATATCCCCATGTTAAGTTTTTCTTTTGAATGTTAAGATCAGCTTGCAAGTTCTAAAAAAATGCCTGTTAGTATTTTGATTGTGATAAAATTGTAGTTATACACTAATTTAGGGAGCATTATGATCCTTAAAATAGGGAGTGTATCTTATAAAAATACATCTTTTTCTTTATTTAAAGTTTTTATTGATTTTCAGCAAAGATTTTTTCCTGTAGGTTTTTTTCATATGTCTTGCACATTTTCTTTTTAAGTTTATTTCTAGATATATTTCTTAATATAAATTAAAACTGAAATCTTTTCTGTATTTTTCTGCTCATTTTATGTATTATTTTATATCAGTTTTGAACCACCATTTAGTTATACCTAGTTTATACAGAAGGACACATAGACGTTTTGTTCCTGACCTCTTGCATACTCGAAAAATTCTATATGCTGTCTTTACACTTGAAAGAAAATCTGAGTCACTCATTATTTTCTATTACTGAATATGGAGGAAGCATCAGTTTTCCCCCTAGGTGAATTTTTGTATGTGGGAGATGAGAAATGCTGAATTTCATTGAATTCTTTTATTATACTTGAAGTCTGAGAACTTCATTGGGCTATATCTTAGAGCTGTTTTTTCTGTATCACTATTTTTTCTGAGCTGTAATATGCTATTTTAATCTGTATAAATTCTAGATTTCTGTTATTTATTTCATGGTAATTTTATTTTCAGGTATTTTTGATTTTTTTTTTGTTCTAATTGTCCTGTTCTTAGTTTTTGCTAACTCTAATTCAAAATTTGATCTCTTTAGTCTGTCTTCTACTGGCACACCAGTACTTACTATCTAATTACTTTTATCTCATAATTTGATAATATTTGTATTCATATATTTTTGTTTCAAGCCAGTCCTCCATGTCTTTATGTTTTTCAATTAGTGTCTATTCTAATATTTTGCTGTTTTGAACGTTTGATGGCTTTCTTTCTTTCTTTCTTTCTTTTCTTCTGAACTTTTCTTGCTCACTATCCACTAACTATCTTGCTCTACTTTCTCATCCTTATTCTTTCTTTTTAAGTTTATTTTTTCAAATCTTTCTTCAAAAGCGTATATTTCCTTCTACTTAGTTGATGACGCCCAATGAAAAGTGAAATTTGCTTGTTTGGTGAGATAGTCGTTTTTGGAAAGTTGTTCTTTATATTTGTGTTTGATCAGTTTCTTTTCTCCTTTTCTGTAAGTAGAGGTCCCATGCTGGTTTGTTTCTGATAATCAGTCGCTCTTCAATGGGTGCCAGTCCACATGGGAGGGCTATTTACTGGAGAATAACTTTAGGAAGGGTGGGAGGCAGGGAGGTGGGCTGCTTGGCAGCTTCAATTCAGGTGCTTGTCCTCACAATGTCTTCGCACTCAATACGCTGCCTCCTTTGCCTGTGAATACCTCTATGCAGCTTTTGATGTGGTCCCTTTAGGGTAAAAATAAGAAAAGCATGATGTACAGCGAAGCCCTTTACATTAAAAATGCTCTATGTAGTGATTTATCTCGTTTGAACGGGCTTTGATCAAGAGCTGCAAACCTGTTGTCACTTGTTTGCTCTCCTCTTCCTGCCATACTTCCAGTTACCCGTGCAGTGCCTCCTTCTCTGTTCCTTCTGCCATCCTGCAACGTGGAAAGGACTGAACATTATTTCAGAATGGCCAGACTGGGAGGGCAGAGGATGAAGAATCTGGGCCTCCCCTAGGTTGGAGCAGGCAGGAGGGGATGGTTAGAACTGCAGACGCTTAGGGAAGACTCAGCAAAAGCACGGTGTCCAAGAAGTGACACAAAATTAGGATGCAGTTTAAGCAAGAGCAGCAATCGGAGTCAAAATATGGTTTATATGTGTGTGCGTGTGTTTGTGTGTGCACATTTGTATGCATCAAGTAGGTAGGGAGTGAGCAGGCAATGCCACTCCATTTGGGCAGATCCCCACAGCCATAAATGGGGGTCAAAAACAGGCAGGAAGGCAGTTGCCATCAGAGCAGAGTCCCACTCCAGCAGCCTGTGGTTTGAGGATGGGGCTCGCTTTTCCAAATGTTTGCTGACCAGGAGACGCAGGACAGCACAAGCTTGGGTGTTAGACACACATTTGGGTTTCAGTTTCAGCTTCAGAAATTATTTATTATATGACTTTGGAAAAATTCCCTAACTGCTCAACATTTTGGTTTTCTTAACTGTAAATTGGGGATAATTGTGTCTGCCTCATAGAGTTATTGTGGGGCCAGAGATAAAACATGAAAACGGTCTAAGTGCCCTGTCTGGCAGGTTACAGGAGCTCAATAAAAGATAGTAGTTTTTAGTATTAATGGCTCAATTGAATGATGATGATAAATCTCCTGGTCTCCCACCGTTCCCCACTCCAAGCCAGCCTCTACCATCTGCCAGTGTTCCCACTACACACAGACCTGGCCGTGTCAGTTGCTACCACACAACCTGTCCACCATCTCAAGATGTCCCTGCCTCCCTTTCCAGCCTCACCACCTACCACCTACCTTTTTTTCTTTTTCACATGAAACTTTCCTTTATTTCTAGAGTCTGTAAAATACTTTCAACTCACCTGGCTCTTCTATATGATGTGCCTTCTGCCTAAATGCCCTTTGCTTTTTCCCATGGGATCCACCTCTGCTCCCCAATCTGTAGAGTTAGACACACACCTGGGTTTGAATTCTAGCTTCAGAAATGATCACTCCCTACCAAGTACACACACACACACACACACACGTACATGCACACGCACGCTCACTGGCCACTTCCTGCCCAAGGCCTTTCCTGTACCCTGAGACAGACTTAAAGGTACTCTCTTGTGTCTGTAGTACTTTGCACATATCCTTATCGCAGCAATATTTTGGAACATTGAGAAGCAATGCTAATTTCTTTATTAATTGTTCATTCAGAGGATCTATGACTTATTGAGAACCCCCAATATGGTCAGAACTCTGCTTAGGTACTTTCACAGATGTCTTATTTATTTCCACAATAATTCTCTCAGCTGCACAGTTCTCTCTAGTTTTCAACTCATGACACAGAGGCTCAGAGGGATTAAGTACCTTGATCAAGATTACCTGAACAATAAGTGGTGAATCCAGATTGTGTCTGATTCCAAAGCCCATGCTTCAGCCAGCATCTGAGAAGAATGAAATGAGCAATGTTGCCAAAGAGAGATGTTCAGATTTCAGACAGAAGGAAAGAAAAATCAATATTCATTAGTCTGCCCTGGTTCAGGTCCATATATGATTTTCATTATGCTTTTTGAAAATGAATCCCAGACAAATACAATCATGCTGTTGGTTTGCAATGATTGGAGGGAGAAATGAGAATGCACTTACTCATGCCTGAGCCTGTCCAGATCCATTTCCTTCTTAGGAAGTGTTAAAGCCAAAGGTGTCTAATGTCCCAGCTATCCTGGTGCTGTCCTGTATGGTCCTGTCTCTGCCTGTGCTGTAGAAAATGCAGATTGTCCACATCCATATGGAATCATTTCTGCTATACTTTCCTACTAGTGTATTATTAAAACACCTGCTGTGGTGGAACTTACTCAGTGAATGGGACCGTCCATTCCTTCAGTCCTCCATTCACTCCCTGACTTTATTTTATTTTATTATTTTATTTTATTTTTTGAGATGGAGTCTTATTCACTCTGTTGCCCAGGCGAGAGTGCAGTGGCGCAATCTCAGCTCACCGCAACCTCTGCCTCCCGGGTGCAAGCAATCCTCCTGCCTTAGCCTCCTGAGTAGATGAGATTATAGGTGCCCACCACACCCGGCTAATTTTTATATTTTTAGTGGAGACAGAGTTTCACTATGTTGGCCAGGCTGGTCTTGAACTCCTGACCTCAAGTGATCCACCCACCTCGGCCTCCCAAAGTGCTGGGATTACTGGCGTGAGCCACCGTGCCTGGCCCTCAATCTGTATTTATTGAGCATCTACTATGTGCTGAGCTTTATAGGCTGCTCAGAACCTCTGCCAAGGGGACGCAGGAATGTGCTCCTGGTAACTTTGGTCTGTAAAGCACATAAACAGACTCTCAAGTAAATGTCTCCCTCCTCTGAGGCTGACTTGTCTGCGTGTCTTGTGCTATTATCTCCTTCACCTGCGGGCACTGATGACATTATTACCTAGATGACTGCAATGTTTGCCAAATTATCTGTCTCCTAGAACCTTTCCCTGTGGAGACACCACATTTATATTCAGGACAATGTATAATAAACTCATATAAAGGATTTCTTTTTTTTTTTTAACAGCAGAATGGACCCACCATTTGCCCAGCTTTATAGGTTAAAACTGGACCTTTTTTTTCTCCATGAGAATAGAAATAAGCTATTACTAGTAACAGGTGCAGTTGCAGTCAGAGGAAGATGGGGTTTTGTTCAGTGAAGCTCCTTTCATTCTGATGTGCATGTGAATGGGCTTCAATCTACAAAAATGGACCTGGAGGTTGTGAGTTGGAGCTGGAGAGAACTGAATTGCTCTTCACAGTAGAGGGAGAAAAAAATTTGAGTTCCTAAGGGGGGTAAAATGGAAGGTGGAAGAGAAAGAAATCGTAGAGAATGAGGGAAGGGAGAGAGAAGACAGAAGTATGAAAAGAAGGCAGAGTTGTTCGTGGGATTAAATTGGTTCATAAAATCTCCCCAGAGGTGAGTGGCCAAAAGCGCTTACAAACAGGGATGTCTGATGTTCAGTGTATGAGTTCATTATACATTGTCCTGAATATAAAAATTGTTTGCCCTGTTGTATTGCAAACCATGATGACATCCATCTTCCCTGAAACTTGAGTGAACTTTCTTATACAGAAAAATGCCTTGTGTGACTGGCTTAATGAGCTAAAAAAAAGAGAAAGGGACAGAGTTTCAGTCTCTGAGTCATTGTGATGTGTTTTAGGGTCCCCATATGCATGACAGTGAGATAAACTGGAAACCGAGCCAGTTTGGCAGGCTGCCATTTTAGAATTGGATTTGCCATTCTAAGTCACTTAAAAGTAAGGTGACAACTGGACAGACACTCAAAGACAGTAGGTGAGCCAGATGGGTATCTGAGGGAAGAGAGTTCAAGCAAAGAGAATTGCAGGTACAAAGGTCCTGAGGAGTGGGGCTCAGAGGGCAGAAGAGGGAGTACAAACCATATTGTGGGGAACAGAGGGGTCTCTATTTCCAGAGAAGCAGCCTAGAAGAGAGGGTGCAGCCTGGAAGGGAGGGTGCAGCCTGGAAGAGGGGGTGCAGCCTGGAAGGGAGGGTGCAGCCTGGAAGGGAGGGTGCAGCCTGGTACCTGGCTCATATCTCAGGCGGCAGGAAGGGCCATGTGTTGGATGGATTTCATTCCCCAGTCAGAGAAGCCACATTATCTGAGTGTCAGTAGCAAATCCTGAAGGCCTGAAAATCACTTTATTCTTCCTGAAAATGCTGTTGAATTTTCCCCAGTGCACTATTACCACTTAAGTGTATGCAGTGTTATTACTCTGCAGGTCATTAACCACAGGAGTTGCCTCCTTAGCAGGGACACTAAACAATTGTTGACAAAAGGCGTGCTCTTCAGCTCATACTTGGGCAGTTATCCTCATCTTCAACCAACAAAGGGTTGGTTTTGATACCTACACTACCATCCATCTCCTCAAAATCCACAGCCCACTTCTGCTTAAGTTTCTTTCCTGAAGGTCAAATTGCACAGATCATGAAATTAGACATCACTTCACTCTTGTGAGGGGAGATAACCATATATGACATATGACCACCTGTCCAAGGAGAAGTTCAGAGAATCCCACCCAGCCTCCCTCTCATGGCCCTGGGTGCCATGGCTTATATGCAGGGTGGGCTGAGTGTTACAGAATCAGGACCTGCCTGCAGGTGCTGGCTTCCCGCTGATGAGTGTGGATCTCAGGCTCATCCCTAAAAATACCTTGATTCTGGCTCTATTCAGAGCCAAAGCATATCCAGATAACTTGAATTGATCCCCTCCAGACTTGAATCTGAAATTGCCTCAAGGAGAACTTGCTAGAAGGAGATGGTTCTCTGTCCCAGGGATTAATGATGATTCCACCTGTGTCATAAACTAAACAACAAATGTCTTTCTCCAGGTGAAATGTCCCACCTCTCTTTTTCTAGGAGTGTATGGCGTTGCACAGCCTTCTCCCCCCATCCCTCAATCCACCCTGGGCTAGAGGGATAATGCCCAGTTACCTAATCTCCCCCCGCCACTCCCCATGTTTCACCTCTCCCTTGTCCCTACCTGGACATACCCTTCTTACATCTCAGTTATTTTATTTCTCTCCCTCTCTCTCTCAATCTCTCTCGACATTGTTTCGAGCTTCGCTGTTGTTGACTCCCTTTCTTCCATGTGTTCCTTAAATATTGGTTTCCTGGAGTTCATTGCTGGTCCCATTTCCTCACTGGTGGTCTTGCCTATACTCATGATTTCAATGAATAGGTAATAAGCTGAGGCTTTCAAATATGTCTTCCACACAGACCTACCTCTGGGGCTTTTGTACATCTAACTCCCTGTTGGAAATCTCCACTTCAGCTTCTGAACAGCATCTCAAACTGAATGTGACCAACGTGGAATCCATAATTTCTCCCACCCCAAGTCGATCCCTCCTCCTGGTTGCCATGAGTCTGTCCAGTTGACCAGGCCACACGCCTGCCTCCCTGCATTTAGTCAGCTGGCCGTCGAGCCCCGCCTCCACCTGCAGTGTCCAGTGTCATGTTGTTTCCCATCTCCTCCTCTTGTGTCTCACTCTGTCTGGGCACTATTCCGACAGTCTTCTCACTGGTCTCCATGCTTCCAGACTGGCTCTCTCAAATGTCCTCAACATCATAGGCAGATCTGTTTCTATTAGTTCTTTACTTCAAATGTTGATAGTTCTGCTTTGTCTTAGAGCACAATCCTCTCTCCACACTCACTTTTGGTGATCCCTCTCCCTGTACATCAATTGGGCTCCTGCCACACGAACACTCAGGTCTTGGCCCCAGCCTCAGGCTCCTGTGTTGGCAAATTCCTGTCCATCTTTCAAGACCTGAGGCCCCTTCTGGGAATCTTCTCTAATTTTTCCCAGTCCACCTTAACCAAGGCGGGTTAGTTACCCTTGGACCCGTTCCCAAGCCAAGGTCTCCTCCCTCTCTTGGGAGTCTTGCTGGTCCTCTGAAGTCACATAGTCCCAGAATTTTTGTTGTTGTTGAGTTGTCTAAACCAATCAGCTCATTCTGTAAATATTGAGAGTAAAACCAGACATGAAGTGACTTGATGAGGTCACACAGCTAGAATTGGCAGAACTGGGACTTGAACCAGGCAAGTCTCCTGGCTCCTGACGTGGTAAGTGTTCATGGCTGGGAACTGTGATTCTATTATAACTGTAGAGACCAGCAATAGGACATTGTCCAGTCAGATCACACTGGCAGTTTCCCTTAGACACATCATGGGAGAAATCAGAAAGGCAGAATCAGTCTGGAGTGCTCCTTCCCATGTATCTAAAATCCGGAGTTTCACCCTGCAGACTGGTTTAAATCCTTCTATGTGCTCTGTCACAACTAAATTTTTCTTCTGTAATAATTCCCACACTTGCATAGTTATTTGCTTACTATCTGTTTTCTCTAGTAAATGAAAAACTACATGAGGATGGGAGGTCCTATACTGACTAGAGAGAGAACTTTTCTCTGTGGATTTAACTTTTATTACATAATAATGCACACTTGTAGAAAAATTTTTAAATATGAATAAGTAAAAAGAAGAAAATGAAAATCACTTGTAATCCCACAACTATTATTTAGTTACAAAGTCTCTCAAACTTTTTTCTTAAAAACGTATAAAAATGTAAATCATTCTCTGCATAATGTTTTGCAATTTGATTGTTTCACTTAACAATATATTGTGAACATATTTCAACATCATGTAATATAATCTCCAGCATATTTTTAATGACTTCATTGAATACCGTTAAACAGAATAAATGATGCATTTAACCAATTCCTTATTGGTGAACATTTATATTTTTCTAGTTTTTTTTAAACCATAGTATGGGCCATGTTGTAGCAAACTGTCTTATAACTAAACCTCTGTGCATATCCGTAATTATTTCCTTAGGATAAATTCCTAGAAATTGAATGACTAGATCAAAGAACATGCTCATTCCAAACTTTTTAAAAACACATTGTCAAATTGGCCCCAAAAGTTTTAGGAATGCGTATTCCCTCCAGCAGGGTATGACGGGAGTCTTGGAGAGAAATGTTTAATCTAGAGTCCTTCCCCTGGCTCACCTACTTGCCAATGAGATTGGCTGGACCGTTCCGTCCTTTTACTGTCTTCAACCAAATAGGTGTAGTGCTCAGTTCTCAGCCATCTATCCTTGCATGCCTGTCTCTTTCTGATTTTTTTTTTTTTTTTTTGAGACGGAGTCTCCCTCTGTCGCCCAGGCTGGAGTGCAGTGGCACCATCTCGGCTCACTGCAAGCTCTGCCTCCCGGGTTCACGCCATTCTCCTGCCTCAGCCTCCCGAGTAGCTGGGACTGCAGGCGCCCGCCACCACGCCTGTCTAATTTTTTGTATTTTTAGTAGAGACAGGGTTTCACCGTGTTAGCCAGGATGGTCTCAATCTCCTGACCTCGTGATCCGCCCGCCTCGGCCTCCCAAAGTACCGGGATTA